CCTGCAGAACTGGGGAACTCTCTTAGAGGAGGGCTGACACAGCTCCTAGCACACTGTGACCTGCAAACTGTGCCAGCACACTGCCTTGCGCAGTGGTAGTCCTGAGTTGACTTCTTGGACCACAAGGACAAGGTCTAGTGGAGTCCCACTGTGACCTGGTTCATCCAAGAGAAAAGCCTTCGTGAGGTGCTCTCAAACCTCTCTCAACATGGGGTCCCTTTAACAGACAAGGCAGGCATGGTACTTGGTTAAATCTTAAACAGGTGGGGGTAGGAAGAGGGGGCATAGCTGTGATCCTGTCAGGGAGGAGGAGTGAGGAAGATCTTGAGTACAAGACCAGTCTGGGCTAGATAGTGAGACCCTCTCTAAAAAAAAAAAAAGAAAAAAAAGATGAACAGGCCGGGGGCACAGTTGGCTCAGTTGGTAAAGTATTTGCCTTACAAGTATGAGGACCTGAGTTTATCCTAAGAACACAAGTGTGGGAGTTTGAAAGAAAATGGCCCCCATAGGGAGTGGCACTATTAGGAGGCGTGGCCTTGTTGGAGGAAGTTTGTCACTTTTTGTTGCCTTCAGATCAAGAGGTAGAACTCTCAGCTACTTCTCCAGCATCATGTCTGCCTGCTGTGGGATATCCTGTATGTTGTGAATATATGTTGCTATGATTGATTGATAAAATAAAATGCTGATTGGCCAGTAGCCAGGCAGGAAGTATAGGATAGGCAGGACAAACAGAGAGGAGAGGCTGGGAGGTGGAAGTCGAGGGGAGATGCCAGCCTGCAGTCCAGGGAGCAACATGTAAAGGCAACAGGTAAAGCCACGGAACACGTGGCGACGTATAGATAATAGAAATGGGCTGAGTTAAGTGTAAGAGCTAGTCAGTGGTAGGTCTGAGCTAATGGCCCAGCAGTTTAATTAATATAAGTTTCTGAGTGATTATTTTATAAGTGGTTGTGGGGTCCGTGGTGCTGGGCAGGACTGGAGAAAACTCCAGCTACATCTGCCTGCACGCCACCATGTCCCACCATGATGATAATGGACTAAACCTCTGAAACTGTAAGCCACCCCAATTAAATGTTTTCCTTTGGAAGAGTTGCCATGGAAATGGTGTCTCTTCACAGCAATAGAAACCCTAACTAAGACAACAAATAAAATGAAAAAAAAATCTGGGAGCTGGGTGGTGGTGCACTCCTTTAATCCCAGCACTCAGGAGGCAGAGGCAGGTGGATCTCTGAGTTAGAGGCCAGCCTGGTTTACAGAGTGAGCTCCAGGACAGCCAGGGCTACACAGAGAATCCTGTATTGAAAACGAAAACAAAGAAGCTGGGCATGGTGGTGTGCACTGTAATCCCAGTGCTGTGAAGGCAGAGAGAGGAGGGTGCCTGGGGCTTTTAGGTCAGCCATCTTGGACTAATTGGTGAGCTTTAGGCCAGTGAGAGACACTGTATACACAAAATCAAGGTGGACAGTACTTAAGTGTACTGGCTAGTTTTATGTCAACTCGACACAAGCTAGAGTTATTAGAGGAGGGAACCTCAACTGGGAAAAAATCCTCTATAAGATCAGGCTGTACATTTCTTAATTAGTGATTGATGGGGGAGTGTCCAGCCCATGGCGGGTGGTGCCATCCCTGGGCTGGTGGTCCTGGGGTCTTTAAGAAAGCAGGCTGAGCAAGCCATGATGAGCAAGCCAGTAAGCAGCACCCCTTAAGGGCCCCTGCATCTGCTCATGCCTTCAGGTTCCTGCCCTGCTTGAGTTCCTGCCCTGGCTTCCTTTGATGATGAACTGTGATGTGGAAGTGTAAGCTGAATAAATCTTTTCATCCCTAAGTAGCTTTGGTCATGGTGTTTCATCACAACAATAGTGACACTAAGACACTGAGGAACAATGCCTGAGGTTGGTTGTCTTCTGGCCTCCACATGCACAAACACACATGCATGCACATATACACATTACCTGCAAACACATGAGCATACACAAATGCAAATATCACATACCGCTAAACCCCAACAACTCCAAAAGTGAGTTCTCTGGGTTGGCTTTGAGCTTGTTTGTGTGGCACTGTTCATTCCTGGCAAGTTGGCATGCTGAATCATGACTGTCTAGGGAAGGCATGCCTGTGTCCTAATCTCTGGAACCTGTGGTCATGACTATTTGGCACTAGGGTCTCTGCAGATGTCAGCAGGCTGAGGATGTTATGAGGTCATCTTGGATCGGGGGGGGGGGGGGGGGGGTCCTTGTCCCATGACTGATGTCTTCAGGGAAGGGAGAGGGTTATGAGGCATGGAGACCCAGAGCCATGTGACCATGGACCTAGAGTCTGGTGACTCACCCATCAGGACACTGAGGCTTGCAGAGCATGAGAAACTGGGAGAGAGGCACGGAATGGGGTCTCCTTGTGCTGTGCTGAGCTTGAGCTTGCGTTTGTGGCCTCTATGGTCATGGGAGAACAAACTCCTGTCATTTCCACCCTGCTAGGAGTGTGTTAGCATAGCCTAGGACCAAGGCAAGGCAGGGTCCTCTATTCCAAGTGCGACCTCCAACTTCAATACACTATGCTGAGAAGGTGAGTCTAGCTCACGGGTGTGTCTGGATGAGTGCAGCTGCTGTCAGGAGGGGAGGCTGAGCTGGGGTGTGGAGCATCAGAAGAGGGGCAGGGCCCAGGTGCCAGGCTAACCGCAGAGCCTGGTACCTAGGGCCTTAATGGCAGTGGGTTCTAGCTGTGGGTAAATGCAGTGGTAGTCTGGGTGGTAGAACCATGAGCAGGGCGATGCTGGGGCACCATGGCCTGCCCAAGGGAGAGCAAGGTATGCAAGCATGCCATTGGGCATCATGTACCCCAGATTAATTCCTGAGAAACCCCAAGTGTCTAGTTATGCCAAACCCACCTTCCTTTGGAGAAAAGCATGTTAGGCCTTGAGGCTTCTTTCCCAGTACCCTGAAGAGCCATGGAGGAGCAGGCAGAAGCAGAAGGGGCTTTCCTTGTCGGGCTGCTTGGGACGTGGTCTTCCCCTCCAGTGAGGGACTCAGGCTGCTGGCAGGCAGGCAGGATGCTGCCGCCTGCCCTTACCTGCCCCTCCTGCCTGCAGTGGGCAGGACACACTCTGACAGATCTCCAAGGAGACAGTGATAGGAGCTGATCTGCAGGGGGACACCTCCAGCCTTGGGGTGAGGACACAAGAGGAAAATGGTAAGTGCCTGGCCCCGAGCCACCACATCAGCCACAGGGGAGTCCTGGTTGGGATTAGACAGATTCCAGAGAGAATCATTTGGTAAAGAGCTGGGGAATAAGTGCTTGGGAAAGTACTTGCCTTACAAGCATGAGGCCCTGAGTTCAACGCCCAGAACCCATGTATACATGCAAGCCAGGCGAGGTGACGCTGGAGAGGCAGAGAGAGGATTCCTGGGGTTTGCTGCTGGCCAGCCAGCCTAGGCAAACAGTGAACTCCAGGCAGAGATGGGTTCTGTCTCCAAACAAACCCACTGGAGAGTGGCTGAGAAATGACAACCATGGCTGACTCTGGCTTCCACCTTCCACACACAAGCATGGATGTTCACACACACATACCACGCCACTAGAACTGACTAGGAGTCACCTAACTCTCCCCACTTTGAGGCTACCTTCCTGAGTTTACTTATAGTAAGTTCCTTCTCTAGACTGAAGCCACCAAGACATGCATATGCCCACATGCCCAAAGCAGGGCTGCTGTGAGGGTGAAGGAAGCTGTGAGGGTGGGTGGGTGCTGGTAGCAGCAAGCAGTTCAGTAGCAACCACACCACTGTAAGGTGGGCTCTGGGCCCACCCTGAGTGTGCACTTCCTCTGAGCCCAGAGTGCTAAGGGCTCTCAGTGGGGGTACTGTAGGGATTCTGATGACTAGATCTGGGAGGTGCTTCTAGTTTTGGACTTGAATTCCAGATGATTCCAACACATATCCATGTCTGTGAAGAGCTGCTGAACCCTCTTCATCCTGTCCCAGCCTGGGGACCCGCACCTCGCCATGCAGGCTTTGGATCAGGATGACTGCACAAGGCCTACCTCCTGTTTCCTCATCTGTATACAGGGGACAGCATGAGGTAAGGGCTCCCCCACCCTCACCTGGGTCTCTCCACCCCTGAGGGCCTTTCTCTTGGAGACCCAGGATAGGCAGGGAGATAGCTGAACCCCCTGACAACTGCTGTTCCTGGCCCCTGTCCACCCTTAGGTCACCCCCGCTCCTGTGCATCTTTCCAATATGTTCCTTCCATAGACTGAAGCTATTCAGACATGTGAATGCCCACAGAACCAAGCAGGGCTGCTGTGAGGTAAAGGAGGGTGAAGGTGAGCCTTTGGTTGATGCCCCAGTGAGCAGAGGCCATTTGGGAACTCCACTTAAGGGACCCCAGAGCCTCCCCAGGCCCAGACATCATGGCTGGGCTTCCAAGGAAACAGGACAACCACAGAATAGGCCAGAAGAGGAAGTAGGCTGTGCTGTGGGCCGCATTTCTCCTGTAAGGACCCAGTATGAGGTTGGGTGTCCAGCTTCTCTTTTTGGGTTTGCTCTCAAGACCCTTATGTTCCCAGGCATTTCTGGGCTAGGTTCAAGCCAGAGCATCTGAAGCTATGAAGAAACCTGTTATTCTAGGTCCAGGGATTTCCAGGGTTCATCTTGATACATGTTGGGGTATGCAGGAATTGTGACCACCAGTGTTACCTGGCTGTCCCAGGTGAGGAGCCCTTCTTGTCCCTATCAGGACAGGCAGGGCCTCACCAGCCCATATCACATGGCAGAGAGCAGAAGGCTTGGAGCAGCTGAGGCAGAGCAAACCCAAGATCCTGTCCCCCTTCGTGGGTAGGCCCTTCCCAAATAGGACTGTTCCCAGAACTGCCTCAGCAGAGCTGGAGATGGCAGTGAGATCTCTAGTTCTTCCACCTGATGGGTGGTAACAGCTCAGCGTTTGATGACCCTCCCCGTGGTGGCACAGCCTACTGCCATGGTGCCGAAGAACAGCAGGCCTCACTCCTGGACCATTGGTTTTGCTTTTTATTGCCAAGTTCCAATTTACAAGGAAGTTCTAGCTTTCGTGGCTCCCTCGGGTTCAGTCCCCAAAGTCTAAATCCTGCTGGCAGAAGCAGGCACTTCCCTGGCCAGAGCTTCCCAGCCCTGGCCTCACTTTGCAACAGTTCTTCCCAGCTTCAGCTCTGCAGGAGGGAGGACGCATTTAACCTTCTACCCATTGTTACAGCGTGAAATATATTTATTACACCTACAAAAGACCAGACCTGGTTTACCTGTGCCTTATTTACAGTTGTGCGTTTCAGAGGCCACAGAGAAAGCCAGTGCTGTCCTTAGGAGGGATGCTATCATCCAGCCCTGGCAATGCAAATATTTGGGAGGGTGCTAGGCTGGCTGCAATAGCAGAGGGTCGGCTCTGGGAGCCTCTTCCACCACCTCCACCATACAGGGAGCTCACCACTACACTGAGTCTGAGCTGGGGGAAGGGTCCTGATGCCCACGCCTCCAAACAGGACGGGGCAGTGCTGCGTTTCTCTATGGTGATAGTCAAAGCAGAGATGTAGGCCCCGGGGCAGTGACAGAAGGGAGAGAGACCAGGGCAGGCATGGTGTGCATGGCCTTAGAGACAAGGCTACTGGTTTTGAAGGCTGACTCTGGGACCTCCAGGTCAGCTCTGTGTCCTTCTGGACCTGGTAACCCTCAGTCCTACCTCCCTGCTGACCGTGGGAGACCTAATATGTTCTTTCTGCCTGGGTCTGCCTCGGGAGCAGCTGGCAAGTTAGTAGGGTGTTCCTGAGGATTGGGTTGTGCCCATTGCCACCAAGACCTAGGTGAGGAAACGTCCTGGCCAGCTGCTTCCTCCAGGACCTCCTCATCAGCAATGGGCCAAGGAGCTCCGCTCACAGGAAGTTCCCATTTGCTCACCTGGAGGTACCCCTGGGTGCCTGGCTACAGGAAGCCTTTGGGGACAATCTTCCAAGCTGTGGGGGACAGGCTTGTCCTTGGTGAATATTACATGGCAGCTGTTCTTTCAGTGTTTGCTTCCCCTTCCTTGGAACCTCCTGAGTGCAGAGAAGAGGCTAGTCACAGAGGGGTGGAACCCACCTGCACGGGTGGGGTAGGGTGGCTGCAGGGTGGAGGAGAGTCACTTGCATTTTATAGCGTTTATGCTGTCCTAGCAACTGTCATCTCAAACCCAAAGTGCCTGCTCCTCTGTCTGTCCCTCCCGGCAAATGACCAGGGAGTACCCAGGGCTGGCTGGGGGGCCCAGAGAGCCCTCCTTTTCAGTGGCCATCACTCATCCCCCTTTCCAGGGCTCTGCTAAACCTCCTGGGACATCCTTTCTTGCCAGGCCTTAGGAGCTTCTGCCTCTGGGCACGCCCACCAGAGTGCTTTTCGAAACCAGAGAGGCCAGTCCACATGGACACTACTCCCCTCCTGGGGAGCACTGGGGCTGCGGGAAGTGAGCCGAACAGGGGTGACAAGGACTGCTGATGTGCAGATGGTGACGTGCCTCCCACAAGGGTGCCCTTGTGGTTAGCCTTCAGTGGATACTGACACTGGGTGAGGCCACATCGGCAGGAAATCCACAGAAGGCCTTCCCATGGAGCCATGAATCGTGAACTGGCTGGCTGCGTGCAAAGGCAGGCTGGGGGCTGACGAGGCAGATATGGGTTTTGCTGGCACATGCCTAGAAGAATGGGATTTTCATACCACAACAAGCTGTGTGGTAATGGCAGAAATGGGCAGCAGAGGAAGACTCTGCTTTTGGGTCATCTGATTTGCAGCTGGGCCTCTGGTCAGGCATCCATATGCATACTGGGAAGCTGGTTACATCTGAGGATGACTTCCTGTGCCTTTGACTCCTGTCATAGCCACGTGGGCTAGGACCTCCATGGTCCCAATGGATCTTTCTTAGATGAAGAGAGAAGGTAGCAAGCCTGCTGGAAGCTGTGCCGATGTGGAGTCCTGAGCAGGGAGCAGATGTCACCCAGGTCACATGACAGCACAGAAGCTGGCCTTCTTGCTCCATATGGCCTGAGAGGGCTCAGGTCTGTCTCTTTTTGTTCAGAAGTATCTGAATGTTTCAGGGAGAGACTTTATCATCCCACTTGTAGGATTGGAGACAGAGAAACAAGTATCATTCAGGAAGAGAGAAAGTGACAGCTGCAACTTCAGAATAAAAACACAGACAAGTTCTACACAAGGGGAACCTAACGGCTGACACTTCTTATGTGACACCAAGCCTTAGGGTTTGAGGACTTTTTCTCTTTGCCCCTCTCCCCAAATATTCTTTTTAAATAAATCTCTTCACCTGTTGCCAAAACCAGAAATAAATAGCCCCAAAGAGACGTTTATCCAGGTGCTTCTCTATAGAGTGCTACCACAGTAACCTGGTCCACTTCTGTGCACACTGGGAGTGAAGACAAGGGAGCTGCCTGAAGGAGGGTGCACCTGGGGCTGTCAGGATCAGAGACGGGCCCGGACCCCTCTGAGGCGGCCAATGCCATCATTTGTACACAGGAGGCTGTCTCTGAGATCCCAGCCTGCTCAGAAAGAGGTCAGAGCAAATGAGAAACTCCAGTGGTCCATGGCTGTCTTGCAGCAAGAGGTGTCAGGGACAGTTTCCAAGGCCATGGAGAACTGTGGGTGCTCCTGATGTGTCCTGCTGTCACAAACTGCACTGGGGTCCCTGCTGGCAGGCTGCACACACAAAGGGAGGTCCCTGGGTGCCCACTCAGTGCTCTGCGGGGCTTGCAGGCTCTGGGTATACAGCATCCTCATCTGGGGTCTCTGTGCCTGCTGTGGCCAGTGAGGGGAGCTGGGGAATGCCAGTGAGGGCTCGGAGGCTGTGGGGATCAACTGGGGGCACAAGGGTCAGCGACTCAACGCTCAGTGTGTCAGCACTGTCCTCAGAGAGCAAGGAGATGGTAGGCTGCTGTGCGGGGAGGAGGCTGGGGGACAGGTGCATGGTCTCCGCCTCAGAGCTCCTGGCCAAGTTCTTGCTGGGCTTGGAGTTGACTTCCATTTCATTCACAATCACCGACTTGTCTAGAAGGTGAGGTTGAGGCTGTTCCGGAGTTGTGGGGGCATCTAGGGAAGGAAAGCAGAGACACTCTCAGCTCTGGTGACACTGTAAACACCTGGCACCCGCTACTCCTGTCCTGCATCAAGGTAGAAAAACCTGTGGGGAGATTGCTGGTATTAGGGCCTGGCCTGGTTCTACCTACTCCTTTTGGGGACCCAGAAGCTGCTAAGTCTCATCTTACTTAAGCCTAGGGGAGTGTGTTGGGACCCTGGGTGCCTGACTTGTAACGGCAGGGAAAACTCAGGCCTCCTGTGAAACCAACCTGTAGATACTGAAAGTGAAACCTGGCCTGGGCACTTGGTGTGCAGGGTGAGTCTGGGCCGACTGCCTGGTGATACACCTGCAATTCCAGGCTATTTCCAGAGGCTCCATTTGGAGATATTTGCCAAGGAGTCCAGTGCAATGGTTAAAAACGAATTGATAGCACTTTCTCGTTTCTAAAATCTTGAACTGTCGCTTGCCTTGCTTTCTGCAGGCACTGAGTTAGCACCCACCAAGGGGATAGGCTGGTCAAGGCCATGACTGTCACAGGTTTCCCACAAGGGCCATGAAGAGGAGCCATGAGCCTCCAGCAGATGTACAGTAGCTGGTTTTTGTTGCTGTTGTTTGTTTGTTTATAAACCCTGATTAGACCGTGGACACACTACTGGCTACTTGCTTTTCAATGACGAGTCAGCCAGGAATGTGTGGCATTCAAGGGAAATACCATCCAGGACTGCAGAGGTCGAGCATTTCAGACTGTGAGAGGAAGTGCTAGGAGTGTCACTTGGGCTGTACATTTATATTTGGATGGATTTTAGGGTTAACTGTCCTTGGACAGAAGATGGTGATTATTCAGCCAGCCCCTGGAGCCACGTGAGGAGACTTAGGGGGCATATGGGATGTTGTTTTGCTTCAATGCTATTCTGGTTGAATTAATTTTTGTTTTCTCATTTAAGCCAAAATAAAACAGAAAAGCGAACGGAACACAGAGCCAAAGGATGGAAGCACGAAGAACAAAATAAAACCAGGCAACATGAAGAATGGGGTGGAGAGCGGAGGAGCCACAGGTAAAGGAAAGTGCACACCAACTCTCCCAGGGCACACCAGACTCCGGGAGGATGGAATCCTCCCTCCGGGAGGAAGGGCCTAGTCAATTCTTTTCCTAAGGGCTTTACTTTTGCTTTTTGTACTGCTGGGGATGAAACCCAGAGCCTCAGGCATGATGCTAGCCAAATGTGTTACCACTGAGCTGAGGTATAGCCTGCCCTTTCTTTAAAGAGAAAAAAGAAGAGGGAGAGAGAGAGTGAGAGGAGGTCTGGAGAAAGCCACTCCCTGTGGCTCTGGGCCCATCCTTGCTGGAGGGGCTGTGGGTGTCAGTGAGAAGTGGTGCAGGAAGAGAGCGGTACGAGCTAAGCCCAGAAGTGCTGTTCCCACAGCTGTCGGTGCTGCTTTCTCCGGCTTTCCACGAACTTGTTCCATTGTGTGTCAACGCCTGTGAGCTGGGCTGGCTTCACATGGATCCTTGTTGTGACCTTGTGGGAACCTGCCGTCTCTGTGTGGCACTCAGTGATCTCTACGAAAGTTTTCAAATGGGTCTGAGCCTACCTTGGAACTTCTCCACGAGGGGTTCATGGCTAGGCAGCTAGGAAATGACTCACTGCAAATGGAACTGTCCTGCTGCTGTTGGTATTGGAGGGACCGGGGTGCAGAAGCATTGCCCTCCTGGATCCTTACCTCTTTCCGGGTTCTCTATGGGGCTTTTGCTGATTATTGAGAATAATCAGGAAGGCAGAAGGACCACAGTCAAAGCCATCAAACAAAACAAGACAACTAACACTGTTACACAGGCAAATGGCTGTCTTTAGAAAAGTAACAACTCTGTTAAAAGGGCAGTTTTTTTTTCACTTTAAAAATACTCCTAGTCATTTTAATAGAAAGAGAGAATGCCCTCTTGCTCCCTCCTTCAGTTGTTGCTGTTTATACTGGGAATACTTCTTGAAAATGGGCACCAAGTTCATATAACCAAAGGGGCAAAAGGAGAAGAGAGGCGGGCTTCCCGGGGAAAGTGCCGCAAGGCCAGTCTCTGTTCAAAGGCCGAGCAGCAAAGGTGACCTGTTGGACCTTTGGAATCTCTTTTCTGCTGATTCCAGAATGGCTACAAAGTGGGCTCTGGAAAGGAGGGGTTTGGACATGGGCTGGGAGGTAGAGCCATAGTGAGAGAGGAGGGTTGAGGGGCTTCCGGCCTCTGCCTGTGAGTGCACTAGGAAGTGTCTTGGCTGACCCTCACAGATGTGATTACAGCTTTAGAGTAGGGCCTTACTGGTCTGTGTAAAGCAAGTGACAGCTTCCAGAAAAATGATATTGACTGGCTGTATATGTCTCGAAAGGCAGGCAAGTGCTGTGGGAAGGAAGGAAGGAAGGAAGGAAGGAAGGAAGGAAGGAAGGAAGGAAGGAAGGAAGGAAGGAGGGAGGGAAGGAAGGAGGGAGGGAGGGAAGGAAGGAAGGAAGGAAGGAAGGAAGGAAGGAAGGAAGGAAGGAAGGAAGGAAGGAAGGAAGGAAGGGCTCCATGTAGCACGCTGATGCAAAGCTCAGAGGGTCAGCTGGCGAACTGAAAAGAAAGTGAGGGCTCCTGCTGATACACACTGTCAGCACACAGGCACGTCAACAAGCATCGGGGAAAGTCCCAGGATGGCAGCAGCCGTGGCCCTGATAAGGAAAGCCAGCTGCTCCCCTCTCCTAGTGATGTTCAAAGTGATTGGGGCACTGGAAAGATGGCGTCCATCAAGGAGGTAGCATTGGGCCTGGATAGCAGCTGCATTTGCTGCTTAGCTTTGGCCAAAGCCTGGGAAAGAACATTCTAGGTTGCTTTTACAAGCTTACAATTCTCTAGTCAGTTGCAGGTATTTGTGTGAACATGGCCTCCAGCTCAGGGCTTACTCTGAGACTACATTGAGCCTGATATTGGATAGGACGTTAGGAACAACTGCTGTGCTCTAGGTTACCAGGGAAGGACCTGGGGGCAGAGGGTTGGGGATGTGTGACCTTAGACAGAGGACGGAAAGGAAGAGAATTGACTTTAGGGAAGCTAAGATTGGGATGGTGTGGCCCAGCTTTCCCACCCTGCTCACGCCGACCCTGTTGCATGTGGCAGGGATATCATGGGCCCAGGGGGGCTCCGGAAGGAGACCTGCCTGATTTGATTGTGCGTGAGGTGCCGTGGCAGCTGCTGGTCGAAGCACTAAACCCAGTGGCCGCCGTGACTGTCGGCCTCCGACAGGCTGAACACTCGCCGGCGTCCTTTCCTGCCACTCCTGACTAGAGGGAAAACACAGGACAGATCATAGAAAGCCTGTAACAATGGAACGGCGAAGGTGAGGTGGAGAGAGACACAGCAGTGACAGACACTGAGCATTAGCAAGAACAAAGGGAGAAAGTCTGTGGCTGGAGTGACCCAGACTGCCAGCCCACCACGTAGACAGGACACATCCATGCTGTCCCCCCAAGACGAGCCAAAGTCAGGAGATCTAAGAAAAAAATTGTTCATTTATGCAACTTTTCTTCTTTTTATTAGACAGAGTCTCATATAGTCAGGGCTAGCGTCAGACTCTGCTACACAGCCAAAGAGAATCCTGGAACTTTGGGTCCTCCTGCCTCGACCTCCTGAGTCCATTACACAGACCCGGTTCATGTGGTACTGGGGATGGAACTCAGACTGTGCATGCCAGACGAGCATGTGGCTGACTGAACTACAGCTCCATCCCTCACTCATTCAACTCGATATGATTAGAGACAGAGAAGGTCCAATCCTGCTGCAAAGTTCAGGTCACTGATAACTTCTGGTCTTGTCAGAAAAATCAGGGGACAGGGATAAAAGGACAAAAGTGCCTGTCAGTTTTATCTGGACCTGCAGAAAGATAGGAACACAGGAGGAAATGCCTGCAGGAAAGAGGGTCTGAGGATCAGAGCCAAACAAATCAGTGACCCTGGGGAGGGTGGCATAGAGGGCATGTGGGAGGTGCTGACACTCACCTTAGACTCATAGTGACATTTGGGGGAGGGGAGGACTTGGAAAGCCCCACCTTGGGAACCAAGGCCCAGGGTGTGCACAGAGCAGGAAATGGGAAGACAGGCACCCAGAGGCTCAGTGGGAATGCACAAGCTGGGACAGCAGCACAGGAACGGTTCATGGTGTGTTTGGGTCATATTCTCAGAGACACTGCAAGGGTAGAGTTAGGAGTGATGCCACAGCACAGTGGAGGACAAGTGAACACCACAGGACACCATGCTGAGGACGGCCATGCCTGTCCATTTCATGTTGGGTCTATTTTGTCACTTAAAAAAAAAAAGAAAGAAGGAAAGAAAGAAAGAAAGGAAGAAAGAGAGAAAGGAAGGCAGGAAAAGGAAGAGAGCACTGTAGAGGAAAGACAACCCTGCCTTCTCCCCAGAGTGCCTGCCCTTTAAGGGCCACTGGACTGGGTGTCTAGAACTTCAGTGTAAAAATTAAGGAGGGATGCTCAGAGAAGGTGCAGGGAAGAAGGGAGCCTGGGGTCAGAGGTCATGGAGGTGCTCAACACTGGGTCCCCAGAAGCCAGCCCTTTCTTTTGCCTGTCAGCCCTTAGGATGGCCAGTGGTGGTTGTAGTGCACAGGCTGACATTTACATTTACAAGGGCAGCCTGACCTTCACTCTAGGATCATTTCCAATCAACACTTTCTGTCTTCCTCCTCAAAGATACTCACAAAGAAACTGTAAAACTTAGCTCATGTGGATGCCAGACAGAAAGGGGCTGTTTAAGGACTGCAGTAGGTCACGGACCCAGTGTCTGAGGGGACACAGCAGGCATTGTGGGCATAGCACGCCAGTTGACTCCACAGGGTACCCTCTCTTGGCTGAGGTCCCAGTTTGTGCTGGGTCTGCAGGTTCTAAAACCACTTCTGGGCAGAGGCCTTGGTCAAGAGGCATAGAAATTGTTTCTCAAAGACAGACTGCCGGCTTCTGTACTCGGAAGGGCACGATTTGCAGGGAAGCTTTAGGGAGATGGGGGAAGGACTCTACTTGTCTCGGACAAGATAGAGGGACAGGGCCCAGTGGGACTTGTGTGAGGACTCCAGACTTGCAGCATTCATTCCTTGGGTCTTGTCTCTAGGAAGACAAGAACCTTTTGCAGCTGATCTGTGCTGGCTGGTGGAGCCCCTGCCTGGTCCCTCCTTGTGAGTTCCAACTGCACACATTTCTCTGTGGTCATCTGATGGGCCTTGTCTGCCCCTGTTCACCTGTGAGAACCCTGCTTTACCACTCGGTGTCCCTAATGTCTGTGCACAGAAGGAACCTGTTTGCCTAGAAAAAGACAGTGCAGTGAGCAAGTCAGGGAAAGAAGGCAGTGCAAGGCCATCTAGTAGAAGGAGGTCTTGGGGCAGGCCTCAGGACCATCTATCCAGGATGGGCAGCCTGCACCACTGATGCCTGGGAGCACAGGCTGGAGCCCCACAAGAAGCTGAGAATGTCCATCCTGGGGAAACACATGAGTCTCTTTCAAACCCAGGCAGGAAGTGAGGTCGACCTGGCTGGACAAAGCAGATGCAGAAATGACCGTCCCGGGCATCGGCCTCTTTCATTCCTAGTGTGGGGTGAGTTTGCATCAGAAGAAAATGTGGCTCTCTAGGGTCTACTGTGCTTTTGGGGACCCCAGCAAACATTGCCCTGATTGGGACCCACACGGCAGCCCAGCCATCTGCTACCTGGGACTACGTGCTCCAGGCTCCACGAGTGGGACTGCGGCTGTGGAGCTGTGCCCACCGGCAACTGTGCGTGACGAAGGACGGTTGTGAGTCAGTTGTTACACTCAGGGCTCAAACTCTGAGTCCGGTCTATGCGCACCCCTGGAGGTATCTGAGAGACTCAGGGGCCATGTCCCATACTCTGCTGGATTGTTTTGGAAGGCAGAACATGGCTGTGGAGTCACCAAGGAGAGGGTTCACATTTGGACTCCCATCTGCCAATGGCAGTGTGGTAGGTAAATCACATGATCTGTCAGAGATGTTATGTTTTCAAATGCAGGAGAGGCCTCAGGGAGGAGGTGTCTAGGGAGTGCACCCAGGCAAGGTGCCCAGGCATAGGTGGCATACACTGGGGTGACCATGCATGGGCTGGGGAGGACCATGAGAAATGCCAGAAAAGTATGAGTCTTCCCCAGCTCTTTACTCCTTCCAGACTGGTGTAACTGGTGTCTGTTACTTATGGGTCTGGTGTGCTGTTCTGACACATGTATAATGTGTGGTCATCAAGTCAAGGGAGAGGAGTACCATCACTTCAGGCACTTCTCTGGGATCAGGAATATTTCAATTTGCTCTTTTGGCTATTTTAAAAGTGACAGAGAGGTATTGGGACCCAGAGCTGCCCTGCTGAATTACTTAGCCCTAGACCTTAACCCTCCCACTTAGCTGTATTTTGTGATCTGCCCCTTGTACATTTTTTTTAGTATTCAACACCATGGAGCAGAAATGGGAAACTGGTCTCTCACAAGCTAGATAGCATCAATCACACACCTTCCCAACCAGATACCTGACCTTGCAGTGGGGCATTGGTATCTGGCTTTGAGGGGCCTGGCTGCTGCTCTCTATACTCAGGAGCTCCCTGGCCTCTGGGAGGTTCAGTAAGTATAAGGTCAGCAATGATCTGTGTTAGCACCACACCCTCAAAACTACTCTGAGGACAAATGGACTCTTGGCAAGGCCATAACTGTACAGGCTGAGCAGCAGGAATAGAAGGTGAATGATGTGGGGAGAGGCTCCTCAGGTTCATCCAACTACCAGCTGGACATCCAAGGACAGTGCCTCGAGCTGATGGTGGCAGCCCTTGGCAGGTTTAAGAACTGGCCAGTAGGCTATGTAGGGGCATCTTCTCTGACCCTCAAATACTGGGCTGCCACTTGGAGCTATTGTCAAACTCAGACACTTGGTAGAGGGACCCCCCTACCCCTTTTTCTGTCCTTGGCTTTCCCCCAGCACAGCCTGATAGGGCATAGGCATGGGGAGAGCAATCTGGTTAGGCTGGACCTTCAGGAACAAAGCATGTACTTGGTTTGGGATGGTAGGAGTACCCTGAAGTGGAGTGTTGAGGCAGAGAGGCTCATGGGCTCCTGTGGGCTTTTCTCAGGGTCAACAGCTCCATCTCAGGGCATCTGATCCCTGCCACCAGAATGAAGCATAGTTCTTGGCTAGGTTGGCTTTCTGAAAGAGGTGAGCTACTGTGGAATGGACAGAAGTGGATGGGTAGCCAATCTCAGGCTTTTACTGTCATGTTACATAAAAAATGGGGCTGGTATGCCTGCTGGGATACAGTGAAAGGGAGCAGACACCTCAGAGGTCCTAAATGTCACTTATTCACTGAATTGCCTGGCCATCTGACAGCCTGGCTAATGGCCCCTGGATTTGTGAGATGCAAAGACATGTTGTTGGCACTGGGCAGGGAATGGTGGGGACCGAGGGATGACAAGGCCAAGGCACAAATAACGAGTGCACGTTGTAGGGTTCATTGGGACAGCAGGGGTTCTCTCTGGTTTTAGGTGTTGGAAAAGAAGTATGTGGCTACCTGCTCACTCAGGTGCTGGCTCTGCCTCCTTAAAAACAGAAGAAAGGTACCTGTAGCTATGTGGAAAAGACCTTCCACCCTAGGCGTGCTGGCAAACAGGAGTGTCTGGGTTCATATGTAGATACAGAAATGTGCATGTCAGCAAGTATGCACACAGCACATGAACATACAATCCTGAACTCCTGTCCTAGAGCAAGGCGAGACCAAGGCAGGGGCCCCAGGAGCTGTTCTTTGCTCTGAAGGATGTTCCATCTGCATTTCCTACTGTGAGCCTGTGAGTAGCAAGACAACTACTTGGATCTGTAGCTAACCTCCAAATAAGTCCAGAATTACTTCCCCCTAGCCTGGGGCAGGGAGAAGAACGGACAGTGAGTTGGAAGAGGTTCCAGTGAGGTGGACCTGAGGGTGACCTTCCTGCCTGGGCCTTGTGACATCAACAGATATGGGAAAAAGTACCTTGTGGGGGTAGCCCAGATGGGCTAGGATCCCCTGAGCCACAGGCATGGGTATAAAGGTGACTCAAACCTTTGCTGGTAAGACAAAAACTGAAAGTATCGGGGAGGGAAGTATATAATACCCAGGAAGACACTGGTCCTAAGGGTATGGGTATGGCACCATGGGCTTTGCCTGGCATGGCCCTCCCCATGATTCCTCATCCATAACTAAACAAGAGGAGGGAGAGGTGCCTCATAAGACATGCTGAGCAGGGCTCCAGTAAGACCTTGGAGGCATAGAGAAGGGAATGGAGGGGTACAGGCTAGAGACATGGGTCCCCTGTAGATCATGGGGTAGTGCTGCTGAGTATGAAACCCTGCACTGGCTTGTCCCCATTTTAGCCCTGCCCTTTTGGCTACATTTGGGCTGTGCTAATCAAGAACCAAGCCTGATGTCTGTCCCCTGTGACCCGATGCAGAACAGACACATGTGTGAAGGCTGCTCATTAAAATACGAGCCCAGGATGAGGCAGGTGGAGGTGGGGCTGAGGCATTATAGTCTGACTCCACTTTATGGACTCTTTCTTTGATGGCCTTTGATTGGTGTATATTAAAGGACAGCAAGATGTGACCCTGCTCTGCCCTGATGAACTCCCTAGGAGGGGCAGGTATGCCTTTGGTGTGACATCTAGACAATGCCAAACACTGAAAGAGGAAACTTGTATGTTCAGGGGCACGAGTCCTCCTTCTCCCAGGGTTCACACAGTCATGCCTGGGAGACCCTGTGGGAGCCCGTGTTCAGGGTCCTCGTGGCTTTACCCAGCAGGTCCGCATAGAGAGGATGATTAGACCACGGGCCTAAGTGCAGGTGTCTGGGATGGTCTGCACTTGGCTGTGCTGGGGGAGGAGGTCTTTTGCTCCACCCCTTGGCGTCTCTATAAAAACCCTGGGGCAGAGACGGTCGGGCCCGTTAGAATAGGTTCCAGGCCCTCTCGAGGCTATCCTTTATTTTCTATCTGTTTATCTCCACAATATAAATCCTTCTATCTAATATTTCCTGCTGCTCACACTCAAGAAAACTCTGGGGAGCTGTGGGGTTGGTGGGTAAACGCCCCACAAGACCCCTCCTGGTGACACACACAGAAGTGATGACACGCCACTTAGGCCAGGCCTAGCTGGTGCCACTCCCTATAGCTCTGTGTATAGAGCCCTACAGAGCAGACCACCCAACAGGCACTAACCCAGCTGGTGGGTGATGCCATCTTGGTCAACCATAAAGAACACCACTGAGGAGGAGCTACGGGTCAGAGGTCACAGCAGAGGTGAGGGTCCCCAGGGTAACCAAAGGTCCTCCCAAAGCCTCCCATATCTCATGGCCAATACCTGCTGGGCTCTGGGTTGCTGAGGGTGTGGAGGAAGAGCCCCCTGAGTCGCAGTGGCTGGTGTTCCCACTGCTGCTGGGGCTCCCACTGGCAGATGGCGGTGATGGTGACGACAGGGACGGAGAGCTATGCTGGTTTATGCACTGGGCCACAGCAAAGCCTGCAAGACAACAGCAGCATGCAACAGGATTAATTAGAAGAGCGCGGACAAGCTTCGCAGAAGGGGTGCCACCCCCATGATGAGTTGGAGACATGAGGTTAGCTTTTGCCTCAAGGCAGCATGGGGGCCTCCATGTCAAGACAACTGGACTGGACTTGTCTCTCTGTGAGTTTTGACATTTTCCAGAATGAGCCGCTCTCTCTGGTCAGGGGCTAATCTGGCTGGGCATGTGTGAAGCTGCTTTCAGAAACAGATGCCATTGACTAGGCCAAGGCAGGGCTGTGGTGTCTGTTGTAGCCATAGCAATGGTTGACTCTGCTTTGGGGCTTCAGGGCTCCTGTGAAAGGTCACACAGGGAGACCAGCATCCTCATGGCTGAGTTTTGGGCCTCATTCTGCCAAAGGGAAGGCAAGCTAGGAACTGGAGAGACCTGGCTGTCGTCCCCCCACTGGAACCCCCTCTGCCCTGGCAGTCCTGACAGGGCAGGCTCAGGAGTAACGAGGGGTCTGCTGAAGAGTCAAGGACAGTCGCAAACTGCCCACCCTAGAGCCACTCACAGGCGTGGAGGCGCCATGGTTTGTGGCCACACAACAAGGGGAGGGGCCTAGCTCTCTAAGTATCTTAGCGACACTTAGCTCTGGGTGGTGAAACCCACTTCTCGGGAGCAGGTGAGCGGTTACTGCAGCCTCTCAGTCTGTTTCTGGTTGTTTACTCTCATGGCCTCAACCATGGGGGTGTGAGACTTCCCAGCAGGCCCCACATGGGCAGTGTGCATGGCAAATGTGTTCTTTAGTGACTAGAGAGATGACTCAGCAGTTATGAACACTGGCTGCTTTTGCAGAGGACCCACATGACAGCTCAGAACCTGACATGTAACTCCAGTTCTAGGGGATCTGATGCCCTCTTCTGGCCTTTGTGGGTACCAGGCACACACATGGTGTACATACATTTATATAGGCAAAATACTCAGATACATAAAAAAATAAATCTTACTGTTATTATTGCTGTTGTTGTTTGAGATAGGGTTTCTCTGTGTAGCCCTGGCTGTCTGAACCTCGCTCTGTAGACCAGGCTGGCCACAAACTCAGAGATCTGCCTGCCTCTGCCTTCCAAGGGCTGGGATTAAAGGAGTGCCACTGCCTGGCAAATCTTAATTTTTTTTTTAAAGAAAAGTGTTCTTTATGCTGGGTGTGGTGGAACACACCTTTAATCTCAACACTCAACCCTCATGAGGCAGAGGCAGGCATATCTCTGAATCTGAGGCCCATTTGGTCTATATAGTAAGATCCTGTCCCAAGAAAGAAACCAACAACAAAAACTCCAAACCCAAAAAGTGCCTCATTATGATGAAGTTCAGTCTTGCTGGCCAGCCCAGGAGCTGTACCCCTGCCTCACGTTCTGCACAGACTGGGGCTTCTGAGCTCTTACAGCCCTCCCAAAGGGCTGCAACATCCGATTTTTTTCTCTACAGACATGGAAAGTTGCAGGAACAACTCTGCTGATAACCCATGAGTCCATGCAGACATGTGGTCCCCACTGCAGCCTCTGGAGCTGGTGCTCCAGAGACCTTACTGCATCTGCTCCCTCAGCCAGAGCTATAGTAAACAAGACAGGGTCAGGGGCAAGTCCCTTAACAGAAAGGGCACCCTGACATTCCTGGCCACTCTTAGTGAACACAATCAGCAGCACCAGCCTCACTCTGCCCCTCCTGCACTGCTGGAACCTCCAGCTCCTGACACTTCCTCCAGGAGGCCCTTCAGGACCAGCCTTACTTGCATAGAACACAGGTGCTGGCCACCGCCTTTTGATAAGTGTGACAGCAAATCTGACTAGATTTGGAATTGCCATGGAAACTCCTCTGGGCCTATCTGTGAGAGTGTCCCCAGAGAGGTTTAACCGAGGAGTAAGACCCACTCTGAACATGGGAGCACCATCTCATAGTCTGGGGGCCCAGACTGAATAAAAAGGAGACAGCAAGAGGAACCCCAGCATTCATCTCTCAGTTTCCTGAATGTGGATGCAATGTGACAAGCCACTACAGTTCACCAGGCCTTCCCCACCATAATGGGATGTATCCCCTTAAACCAGGAGCTCAAATCGACCTTCCTTAAGCTGCTTGCCACACCAACAAGAGAAGTACTAACTCATCAAGTAAAGTCTTCGGGGGACAAACTTTTGGAACTTGGTTTAAATGTAGCCTGGTTACACTGAGTAGAGTCACTGTCAGGGAGATCATGTAGACTGAAAAGCACACACAATACTTCTGCGGGAGCAGTGTGTTCAGCCCCATGTAGTACAAAGGGTAGAGCAGGTTCTGGCCCCTGGGGAAACTTACTGGTCGGTGGGGGTGGGGTTCAGGCAAGGCTCTGCACCTCTTCACTTCCTACACGTCGTCTACAGACAGGAGCCCTGCTCTACACACCCCTTCCCTGTAGACTCACTGGGACCCTGCACTTAGCCAAAGAGCAGCTTTTTGTACAATGTTCATGAAGAACTACTGTTCTCAACTGACAAGCTCACTGATATCCTGGGCCAGGTTCTAGGTAGGGGCAGGCGACTTTAACTGTGGCAACGGCAGGTGGATGGGACCTTGAGGGCAGTCTCAAGCAGGAGCTCTTTTCTGGTAGGCAGTGCTTCCTGCCCTCATCTATAGTCTACCTCAGATGGCTGTTACAGAGGGCACAGTAGGGCCCCTGGGCTGGGAGGAGAAGCCAGCAGAGGAAACACGGCGAACATCTGGCAGATCCCAACACTGCTCAAGAGAATTCCATAGGGACAATGAACTTTATAGCTGCTTACTTCTTAATCACCTACAGTGGTAACCCCCCCGAGTTTACAAGCTGTTTACTTGCCCTGAAAATGAATTACTCTGTAACAAATCAAAGTGTCGGGTGGCTTTTCCCAAGCTGCTGATTTATCCCACATACACACAAGCTGAGTGTTGAACAGGGTTGGGATTCAGCCTTGTGTGTTCCTGAATGAAGAGTGACAAAGCTGGGGCCGTGGGGGTCTCTAAAGACACAGGTCTGCTGTCACTGTGACTTATCTGGAGTGAGGTTCATGCGGGATGAGCCAGGATACTAATGTCCTTTCCTGGGTGGGGCAGAGCTTGGTGGGAGAACACTTGCCTAGCCTGCAGGGTGCCCTGGGTCTTTTGAAAAGAAGACAAGACAGTTCTTCATTTGGGGGTTGGCATCAAGTCTTAGACTGGTAATAAAATTTACATGTAATTAGAGTTGGACAGAAAAAGGAGATCCCCAGCCTGTTCCCTTGTCATTTAAAAAGTATTTTCCTATTTATCTACTTATGGTGTGTGCATGTGTTTGTGTGGGCACGTGTGTGCCACAGCATGCTTATGGAGGAGGAGATGGCTCTTTCCGTCTGTCATGTCGGACTGACCTCATGGCATCAGGCTACAGGTCCCAACCCCATCTGTCATAGTTTGCAGGATCTACTGAGTACAAGTGCTGGGCTTACATTTCCCCCTCTGCTGCTGCTCAAATCTCTCTTCCTTCCTCTCCATTCTCCCCACATGCTGCAGTTTCAAGGGAGCTCTCTTCCACACTAACTTGCCATATTGGAGGATTGTGTGGACACTGGAGAGAACTGCGGATGAATGCCATGGCTGCGGCCTGGACCTCAGAATTCTTGCTTCATCTCAGCAAGGCAGTTCTGGATGAGCTGGCTACAGCAGAGATGCCAGAGGCCTTCTGGGTCTGTGTCAACACACAAGGGCTGCCAAGTCCTTGCAAACACATGGACAAGTCAGAGATCATGGGATGGTTAACAGGCACACAGGCTCCCTAGGGTCTTTTCTACTGATGACAAGCTTGGCTTACCCTGTGTCTGTCTCAAGACCAGCTCTCGGATGTGTACCAAAGGCTGTGGGGGCTCGCAAGCCTTTGGACCCAGTCTGCATCTAGGAACTGGTGGTGGCGGCAGTGTGTGCAATGAGGGGGGTGCACATGCTGACGAAGGAGTGTAATATGGGGAGTGGTGAAGACATGGATGTGTTTGGTGCTGGAGTAAAGCCAATGATGAAAGTTCTCCACTGTTGGCAAAAATGTCAGAAAGCAAGATTAAGTGCCTAGGGAAGTGCTCAAGACGTGGCAAGTGAGGAAAGGTTAGCAAAAGTATGTCCACACATTCCTACTGAGAAAATGCAGGTTTTCCTCCTCCCTGCCCAGAGCAGAGCAAACTGCTGTAGGGTCTGAAGCTGTGAGAGGAATGGGTGGGTTTAGAATGTCTTTGGGGGCTTGTCTGAATTTTCTAAGCTCCTTACCATTAAGTTCTATTATTTTGAGACAGGGTCTCATGTATCTCAGACTGGCCTTGATCTCCCTGAAAATACCTCCTGTCTCTACTTCCCTGAGCACTGAGACTACAAGCCTATGAAATCATGCCCAGCTTATGTGGTGTTGATATTAAACCCAAGGTCCTGAGCAGGCTCAACAAGCACTGCACATCCCCAGCCCTATGAATATTATTTCAGGTCAGGAAAGAAGATGGTAGAGGAGAGAGAAGTCACCTGGAAGCTGGGCACACTCAGGCCTGGCAGTAGCACCCACTATGAGCCACTCTGGTCTCCTGGCTCCCTTCCTGTGAGTTCTCGGGACCTGGACAAACTTCCACAGAGCAGGACCAGGCAGATGGACCCATGCCAATAGTAAGCCATGCCCTTGCTTTGCAGGACCCCTGAGCTGCATGGGGCCTGTAGCCTTCCTGTCTTCCTCCACTCCATTCTGCCATGATTCTGGGAACGGGAACTAATGAACAGCTCTCTGGCATTTATCAAGAACAAAATTACCACCAAAAGGTCAGCCTTCTATTTTAGGCCCAATGACAGAAGGAATATTGTGCATGGAATCAGAATCCCAGGTTCGAGTCCAAGATCTGCCCACTTTGGCTTTGAGACCTGGGATGAGTCCCTTCTTCTACTTTCTGCTTTTAGCTCTCAGTTTTAATAACCAGGTTCATGAGATTTCAGAACCTGAGCTAGT